GAGGACGACACGTGGCCCGGACTCCATCAAAACCCTAAATTCGATCACATGTCAATTGATTTGGATAGAGCACTTTGGGAGAAAGTAGTAAAAATTTGGGGATAGTGGCCAACTTGGTTCAAAGTTGGGGGATTAGCTTTAGGCCCATGCTTTTGTTGGGGGCGTGCTTGTGGGGTAACTATCACGGGGATCTTGGATCGTGATGGGTTGCGTTGAGATCAAAAGTAGCGAACCGGGCGGGGCTTGAATTATACGTACAAATGGGTCGAGGGTACAAAATTCTATCAGAACGATCTATATAATATCACAAAGTAATCTAAAATAAAATGGAGAGGAAATAGGGCGACGGTTTGGATACTTTCATTGCCCCGTGTTTGGATCAGATAGCCCACAGCGTGCTGGGTGTTCTAAAAGAATGTGTGCTCTCTTACATATGATGCGGTCCATCAAAACGAATAATAATACATATGTAGACAGATAAGAAAATTAGAAGCTCTTACATGTAAAAAAAAAACGAATAAAGATAAAAAAAACAAATAAAAAGAAAACATATACAAATGCAAAAAAACGAAACAATAAAATAGATTAAAATTTAAAATTTACAGACAACGCGGCACACAAAAAATGTAGGAATAAAATAAAATTTCTCAAGAAATCAGAATTTATTCTTAATTTGAAAATGCATTCCAAAATACACTACCATTTGGAGTATCTAGATAGTCATCCAAATGTTTTGGATCATATCAATAATTTTGTCTTATCGAAAACGAAAAATCAATACTTTATGGAATATAGATGGCTATGGTGTATAAATTGGGTAAATTTCACAGAGCCGTATACGAACCAACGCGTGTAGATACGTGAATGGTGGGGTGTGGATATGGCGGCGAGAAAGCGGCCTGTCGTGACGCGGGAAACTGACGTAGGTAGTTGACGTCACATAAAGGCCAGCGGGGGCTGCGGGTCGGCCCACGGCGAGGCAAACTATCGGTTGTCTGGATGAGTACATCTGCGCTCCATTGAGTTCGACCCCGATATGCAGAGATTTCGTGGGGGTCCGCCGATTGTTTTCTTGCCGACACGGCCTAAAGTGGGGCCCACTTGCTGTGTAGTTTATATATTTTGTACGGTCCAGAGAGAGATGTGTAGAGTACCTACATCTTGCCTTTTCTTTTATCCCCCCCCCCCCCCCCCCCCCTCTTTATTATACAAATAAATCAGTAACCAAGCCTCTTTACCTAAGAAAATAAAAAAAATTATGGCATTCTCGAGTTGGTTAGGATCACTCTATTTCTAGCAACCCCTCTAATCAAGAGCTAGTCTATATCAATTAAATTATGAGGCCAGAGAGACCTGAGTGTGGAACAACCTTAGCCTGATTTTAAGGCTAAAACCTGGTTTAACAGAAAAAATTAAGTTTCGTGTTGCTTTGATACTATCTTCAAGTCGCTCTAACTATTACATCACAACTACGTGCCCCATATTATTATAGTCCATGATCATCGTTTTTGTTACTTTAGCTATTGTATTATTTCTAGCACTCGTTATCATGTAATGCCTTGCCAAGTTTTAGATTATAATTATCTTTAGAAACTATTTCAAACAATGTAACCTTGTGTTATAGTGAGAACCTCTCTAGGATACTATGTGTAACACCTGTAAAGCGTTGGTGTGTTTATTATTTTTCCATTATCTATGTGAAAACCTTGCACATCATAAAGCATATTGACTGGATACAACGAACAATATGCATACCGTACTCATTTTTCCCCCCCTTCTGTCGTGAGCATTATCCATGTTATGTACCATTAATTCCGCTTCTATTGTCTCAAACTTGTTATGTACCTACCATTTTATCCGTCATGATTTTTATAAATTATCACTAAGAGTGCGTTTGGCAAACTTTTGAAACTAGACCATGATTGAACCCGGTCCAGTTTTGAGTCACCGGCCCAGTTTTTCTTACGTCAAAAGACGCTATGAAACTAATTTAGTGTTGGACCACCACCCAATGGGTCCAACTCTAAACTAGTTTAGTATAGAACTAAGTCAAGATTGAATCTAATTCAAATTTTGAGTGATTGCCAAACACACCCTAAAGTCTGACGAGCGATAGTAATTAAGCTAAAAAATGTCTTAAACTTAATTGTCCTCGTCAAGTAGGCATTAGGCTAAGATGGTAGGGATTCGTCATATCAACTTTGAATATTTGAGAAATATTGGAGAAAGTAGGGAAAAAGCTCAATGCAAGCACGAGATGGTAGAAAAGAAAGAAGATGAGTGCATGCCTCGATACTTGTCGGGGGTCACAACTAAAACTTTAATTGAGAAAGGAACATATACTTAATTATTTTCATATACTCACGAGGTAATATTGGGTGTTAATTTTTTTTTTTAATTTTTGATAGAAAAAAGAAGAATAACTGCAACGGTGAGCATAAGTTGTAATATGTTTATTTTCAATTATTTTCAAGGAAAAGCACATTCAATTTCTTCTTACGTCATGATTTTCTCGACATTTATTATTTAGTCATGATGAATACGCAAAAATTATATAACTCCAACATAATGACAGTAGGTACATATTCTATAAGGCTCTATGTTAACAGTTGCATAATTGACATATGAGATAACCTCATACTCACAAGGTAATATTGGGTTTTTTTTTTTTTTGATAGAAAAAAGAAGAATAACAACGGTGGGCATAAGTTGTAATATGTTTATTTTCAATTATTTTCAAGGAAAAGCACATTAAATATCTTCTTACGTCATGATTTTCTCGACATTTATTATTTAGTCATGACGAATACGCAAAAATGATATACCTCTAACATAATGACAGTAGGTACATATTCTATAAGGCCCCGTTTGGCAAAGGGTTAATGAAGAGGGGTTAAAAAGAAGGATTAATGTACTTAGCCCATTTGATAATCCGAAGGACTAAATTATTAACCTGTTAAATAAGTTTTATTTTAGCCCTTATGATCAGTTTTAGTGTTTGGGAATAACAATGATTTTGACTATTTTCTTTATAATTAGAAGGGTTAACTCTTATTCCATCTAAATAGGAGTATTAGTAAACCCCTCATTTTGAGGGGTTAACTCATTTTAACCCCTCTAGAGGGGTTAACTTAACCCTTCTATATTTTTTAAGTTTGGCAAATTATGGAGGGTTAACTCACTTTAACTCTTATATAAATTTGTTGTGTTTGACAGGTTAAAAAGGGGTTAAGTCTCCTTAACCCCTCACTTAACCCTTTGCCAAACGATACCTAAGGCTCTATGTTAACAGTTGCATAATTGACATATGAGATAACCTCATACTCACGAGGTAATATTGGGTGTTTTTTTTTTTTTTTTTTTTTTATAAAAAAAAAAAAGTTTTTTTTTTTTTTTTTTTTTGATAGAAAAAAGAAGAATAACAACGGTGG